AATGTTTTTTGGGGGTGGGTTTTTTTTTGTTATTATTTAACAGCAATCAGCTCATGTATTCATCCAGTAAACAGTTAACTGAGAACCTTTTATGTGCCAGATAATAGCTATTAATCATATATGATATATAATTTTCTTCTTTTCTTGTTTCCATGACTTTGACAAGGAGTGGTCCGAAGAAATAGTGACCCTTGTAAACTAGTTATTTCAAAGAAAAGCTTTGCATTAATAATACTACTTTAACTAAAATAATTCCTGGTAGGAGTTCATCACTATTTCAATACTGCCTTTTAACATCCTTCCCTGTCAACAGGATTTTTTGGATATATTTCCTTAAGAGTTCTTTTAAGCCCTAAAACTTATTAAAGCCAGACATCTCTTCCACATCATATAGCACAGAATTTTGGTGTGGTTGAGTATTCAGAACTCTTGATGCTATTTTTATACTTCATACAGGCTTTTTAAAATTTAATATATGGAAATATTTCTTTTAGATATCCCTATTCTGTTGTATCCATTATTTTTGTGTGTCAGACACTGAACCTGCCTTCAGCACCTGCCAAATATTTGTTGAATTCATTAGGAAATCACTTTGAACATTTCTTCCTTGGCAATGAAGATATTGTCTTGAAAATGTGTACTTGCCTCCTAAAATCCCAGTCATAACCAGAGTGGGGCAAAAGTAGGCTTACAGTTGTATGTGCAAGTTTATTCTTGTATCATTTATTATTGTATTTCCCATATGAACAATTGTAAACGTACTTTGCTCCACCTTGTATTGTTCTTATAACTTTTAAGGAATAATTACTGTAAAAGAGATATATGTATTATATATATATATATATATATATATATATATATATATAATCTAAAAAAAGAGAAACATGGTAATTAGCGTACAACCGCTACCCTTCCCATTGGCTAATTAGCGAGATATGCAAATTAATCACCAGCCAAGATGGCGGTTAACCACCAACAAAGATGGCGGTTAATTTGCATATGTAGGCACAATGCAGGGAGGCAAAAGGGAAAGCACGGAAGAAGCCCCCTGCCACTGATAGTGATCGGAAACCCAGGGGGGAGCTAAGAGCCCTGCCCCCCAGCCCAGGCCTAACGCCTCGGCCAGAGGCGTTAGGCCTGGGCAGGGGGGGTGCCAGTGATCATGGGGAGCAGGGGCAGAGTCCCTGATGGTGGGAGCTTGGGGTCCCCTGCCCAGGCCTAATGCCTTGGCCACAGGCGTTAGGCCTGGGAAGGGGTGGAGCAGGAGGTCCCTTGGAGAGCTGTGGGTCCCCTGGGTGAGAGGCATTAGGGCGGAGCCGTCAATCGCAGGGAGCAGGGGCTGAGTTGGTGATGGTGGCATGCTGAGTTGGTGATGGTGGCATGCTGAATGCCTTGGCCAGAGGTGTTAGGCCTGAACATGGGCAGAGCCAGCGATCGTGAGCAGGGGCGGCGTGGGCGATCGTAGGGAGCTGGGGGTCCCCTGCCCACCCTGATCCGGGACACCCTTCAGGGCAAACCAGCTGGCTCCCACCCGTGCACCAGGCTTCTATCCTATATAATAAAAGGGTAATGTGCACATGCAATTTTTTTTTCCAAATATATTTTATTGATTTTTTACAGAGAGGAAGGGAGAGGGATAGAGAGTTAGAAACATCAATGAGAGCGAAACTTCGATCAGCTGCCTCCTGCACACCCCCTACTGGGGATGTGTACGCAACCAGAGTACATGCCCTTGACGAGAATCGAACCTGGGACCCTTCAGTCCGCAGGCCGACGCTCTATTCATTGAGCCAAACCCGTTAGGGCAGTAATGTGCAAATTGACCTTAACAGCAGAACGACTGGGAATGACTGGTCACTATGACACACACTGACCACTAGGGGGCAGATGCTCAATGCAGGAGCTGCCCCCTGGTAGTCAGTGCACTCCCACAGGAGGAGCTCTGCTCAGCCACAAGCCAGGCTGACGGCATCACAGCGGCGATGGTGGGAGCCTCTCCTGCCTCCTCAGCAGTTCTATGGGTGTTCAACTGCAGCTTCGGCCCGCTGGCAAGTGGACATCCCCCAAGGGATGTATCACTGCCAGCTTAGGCACAATCCCCCGGGGAGCAGGCCTAAGCCAGCAGGTGGACATCCCCCGAGGGGTCCCAGACTGCGAGAGGGCACAGGCTGGGCTGAGGGACCCCCGAGTGCACAAATTTTTGTGCACCGGGCCTCTAGTGTGTGTGTGTGTGTGTGTGTGTGTGTGTGTGTGTGTGTGTATATATATATATATATATATATATATGATATATATGCAGGGTGGGGCAAAAGTAGGTTTACAGTTGTGAATACACAAAACACAATTCTTATATTATTATGTATTAATTGCTGTATCATTTTCCATACGAACTATAAACCTACTTTTGCCCCACCCTGTATATCACCTAGTATCTTTTGAAATTAGTATCAATAAATAGTTCATCACTTTTATCTAATTCACTGCAAGAGTAGTTTTGACAACTTCTTTAAGATTAACGTATTGTGTGACAATAAAATTTTATTTACATTTCCAGCAACGTGAACTGGAAGAATGGCAGTTACAGCAAAGTAGGCAAGGACGTATTAATGCAATTATTGAAGAAGAAAGACTAAAACTTCTCCAAGAACATGCTACAAAATTACTAGGATATCTCCCTAAAGTAAGTGAGATTTAACTCAAAGTGTAAGCCTCATGACATCTACTGGTGGGGAAAAAAAAACCATGTATTAGGATTACAGAGGTCCTGGGTTTTGCTCACTTTTTGCTGTTACCAAGCAGTAGTGAGATTTTAGCCACTCATTGAATATCTCCAAAATGAGAGCTAGTCTTGGAACATTTTTAGAAGTATGAGCTAAATGTATTGAATTTAAGGTTTAGAGATTCTTTTCTCACCGTTCAGTGTAGGTGTTACAAAACTAAACTACTATAAAGCAGTTGTGATACTTTGCAACAGGAAAACCTTGTAATCAGTAATACCAGTGACAGACACACGCTTGAACTGAGTCTATGACAGATCTGCTCTATAGTAGGAGGTTGTGTTATCACTAGGCACTAGTAACTAGTTTTTAAAATTTTTAGCAAATTTCACGTACATCTGAGATACACTGTGACTATAAACTGAGTTTCACAGGCCACATAAACATGGACTCGTGTATTTTCGTCCTTGAAATATAGAAATTATGCCATTTGATATTTTAGTCAATTGGAAGAATCAAGTGCATATTTTATATTTAGCCCAATGCTAATTAAGGAAGGAGAAAGAGAAACATGAGTAATTATTGCCTGCCCTCAAAACCTTATAATCTGTTTAGATAGGATTAATGAATACAAAATAATATATTAATGACAACAGCCACATGGAATTGATAAATTCTGTGAAACAGACTACAAATTCTGGGAGAGTCTTGGGATTTAGATATTTTTGTAGGAAAATAATTGTGGAGATGGGGAGAATCCAATAAACCTGATATCCTAAAATGACTTTTTATCCTTTAGGTCCTAATGGCCCCAAATGACCTAAATTATTCTTTGGATCCTTTACAAGTAAATATTTAAGTTCAATTTTGTTTTAAAGAGCCACCTCTTACTATAAGGGAAAACAAAATAAAAGCCTAAAGAATTTTAAAGGGCTTATTCAAATGGCTAAACTCCAAACCTGGATTCATTCTTTCCTGCAAGATTGAATGTTTGCTGATTAGCCATAGAACTGAAGCAAGAGCCAGTCTCATGCATGCATTTGGCAAAACTCAAACTTTTCACCCTGACCCCTCATAATTGTATTGTAGGTCTGTTTCAAGACAGGGTAGCATACAGTATACATTAAATTCCTTCCCATTCAGCCAATCCAAGTAGTAGTACTTGTAAAATAGAAGATTCCTATGACAAGTTCCAACAGTGGAACTGATAAATCAGGAAGTCTGGTCAGTCTGAGAATATTCAGTATGTATATCAAGGTGTAATTTTCAGAAAATAACCATTTTCTTTATAACTCTACTAAAGAGATTTAATTATCTTCTTAGAAACAACTGCAAATTTCAATTCTATTTGCTAGTCTCACAAACATTTGGGGAAATATTCTGGTATTCAAAGTAACCCACAAATATTTTTCTTGTAGGGAGTATTCAAAACAGAGGATGATATTGATATGCTTGGTGAAGAGTTTAAGAAAGCATATCAGAAAAGGAGTGGAATTTGTGAAGAAAAGTGATATCAAGATTTGGTAAAACCTGGATTCTTTTGCATGTTACCACTAGATGTCAGTGTAAGTTTTGTTTTACAGTTCAGTGATAGGAATCTTGTCTATTTGAATTTTCTAAAACATCTCCATCTCATCATTTGTAAGTGGTTCTCTATAAGAAAACATTTATTTTCTGATAAAAATTAAAATGAATAAATACTTTCAACTGCAAAATTAACTGCTGTTTTTGTACTGAATATCTGAGTTCTACACCACCATATTATAACATTCCATGTATATAAATAAGGACACTACCTTTTCCATACTGTTCAGAATTTTTTCTGTCACCCTATTCAGGCTACAGTTCTGTCTACGTTTGTGTTTAGGAACTTTACTTGCCTGATTTGGCCAGGGAAATAAGTATTTATAATTAATTTGGGTTTAAAGCACCATTTTCTGAGCATGTGACATCATGGGGAGCAGTGAGCCCTCAGACTTCCAGAACTGTGAGACAATTTCTGTTGTTTAAGCCATCAAGTCTGTGGTTCTTATGGCGGCCTTAGCAAGCTAATCTATATAGTATGTTTTTAAACATTAATTTTTATATTAAGTAAAGCATCCTTTTCTGTCTACTATAAGGGAGAAGAAAAGTAAACGGTGAGGAATTCCAAAGTGCTTTATTTGTCAATAAGAACTTAAAACAGAATTTCTCTCAGATAAACTCATTTCTTAAGAGTAAAAATAATTCAAACCATTATAACTTAAGCTAAATAAAATGTATAACCATCACACACTTAGTTATAGACACTAAAAAACCCACTTAAGAATTTCCCCAGTCAAGTGCCTTCATAAATTCCTCTTCAGTGAAAGACAGCATCTTGGCAGCTTCAATATGCATCTGTGTTTTTTTTTTAAAAAAAAATTACTATGAAGACATTTACTTTAGTATTAAGAATAAACCACACAACAGGAAGTTTATAGAAGTGTGTGTATACAATGCTATCAAATTATAAGCTCTGTTGTAGGAATCTGTACTCTAATTCCAATAAACATGATATATGAAACAGTAATTACATTCAAGAGTCAGCCTCTAAGAGCCTATTTGTCCAATGGTGGTATTGCACCAATTAACTATTGAAAGACAATTCAATAATGGTTTAATACCTAACCTAACCTTTGCAAAAAGGAAAAGAGGCAGAACCACGAATTCATGTCTACTCACTACCAGGTGACTCATGTAGAGAATGGAACAATAGTGATTTGGAATCAATTTTCACTCCTCCAAGAGGCAATCCAAGTTGCTCTTGTATATGGTATGTTCTTTATTTAGGACGTACCCATAGTGTATTTACCAGTCCCATTTTCCATATTACTAATTTACTTGCATGAAAATATCCACTTCCTTGGAGGACACATTATAAATAAATCTTATATAAACTTTTGTGCCTAAGCATGTTAAACAAACATATCTGAAGTACAAATACTAGTAAATATTTTAGTAGAGAGTTCCAAATAATATCGATGGGTTTTCTTTTAGGGTATACTCACCTTCTGCCTTTTTAAAACATCAATTAATTTTAATTGTTTCTTGAACCCTATCATTAATTCTCCTTTTTGTTTTTCTAGCTTCTTGTTTTCTGATTTTAATGCTTCAATTTTTTTGTGTTCTTCACTTGCTATATCCTACAAAAGAAAAAAAATAAGTTCCATATATACCTTTTTCACTCTTTTAATAGAAAAAGATTATAAAAACTATAATGAACTGAAATATAAAATTTTTGGTAAAGTTTTCTTTGCATTACTAGATTACTATAACTTTGATAACTTTTAATGATGTTCAAGTCTCACATTTACATTTTAAAAAAACGTTTTGAAATAACAACTTTGTTATATTCCAGTAATAGTAAAATAGCTTGTATTGGACCAGCTCTCCAGATAGTAGCAGATATAAACTCTGGACACAATTTTTAAAACATTTGAAGATGTAGGTAAGTAATCAATAGCAAAGTGGTGGTGGTATGACCCTTGAAAAAAATGGAAGCATATTGATTTAGAGTACTTTCCAGTTCATGAGTTCGCTGGGGATAGACCTCAAATCAGAAATAACAGTCTTATCCATGGGAAATCTTGGAAACAATGGAGTCCTCAAAATCTACTTAAATATTCCCCTCAAATCCTTGGCAGACACCTAAATAACCATGTGCAGCCACTGTCCATGACAAGTGAGACAGGTTAGAACTTATTAAGTACTGGAAGATGTTATATAGTAAGTCCTCACTTAGCATTGTAGATTATTTTGCTTAATATAAGAGAAACTATGTATAATGAAATCAGTTTTGATACAAACAAGTTTCTATGGCATGTCATCAACATTATAACAAACAACACTGAATGAAAGTAACTTTTTTCACGTATAGCAGGTTGTCGAATAATGTAAAGTCGTTCATGCAAAAGGAAAATGATACCAGAAGGAAATCTGAACCTACATACACATAAAGAAAAAACGAATAACAGCAATAGTAATATGGTAAAATAGTAAATATGACTTTAAATTATTTTTTTTAAATAGAGAGTGATGTCAGCCAGATGGCAGAGTAGGAAGCTCCAGAGCCCTTGTTCTCCCAAGGAACTCCCATGGAAACACTGAATATACAGTACACACATTATTGTGGCATTGTGAGAACTCTAGAAGCCAAGTTAGCAGCAGCAACCAAGCAAGAACCACATTCAAAACACTAGGAAATGACATTGCATTTATGTTCACCCTTTCACCTCACCTTCCCCACCACCTCCCTTGGGATGGAAAGAATAAGAACAGAACTTGGTTTTATGTTCTGACTTATATGAGGGTGCCTTAGGGACTGTTTTGTCTCACCTGATGGAATGGTGGCATAGTCTGACTATTAGGTTGGAGCTGCTGAAAGCAGGGGTGGGCACTGCTGGACATGAGGACTGTAGGGGGTCTTCAGAACCACAGGTGCCTAGGGGCAAGAGCTTATGGGCAGAGGAATAAAATACATCTAAGGCACTGAGAAGTTGGGCCAAGACTCTTAGGAAATCAAGACATTTAAAAGATGAGAAAACTTTTTTAAAAAATTGGCAACAGGAAGTTCTTCCCTGTTAGTAATAATGTGAAATATAAATGAATTCCATTCCTATACTAGAAGAATGGGTTTAAAAAAATAGGACCAACTATATGCTGTCTACAAGAGATTCACTTTCAATCTAAAGACATACATAGATTGAAAATGAAAGAATGCAAAAAGATATTTCATGGAAATAGTAACCAAAAGAGAATAGGTGTGGCTCTAATAATATCAGGCAAAACAGACTAAGTCAAAACAGTTATAAGACAAAGAACATTATATAATGATAAAAGGGTTAGTTCACTAAGGCACTACAACAATTATAAATATATATGCACTAATATCAGAGCTTTTAAGTATATAAAGCAAACATCAATAGAACTGGTAGGAGAAATAGCTCTGTAATAATAGGAGACTTCAATAATGGATAGTACAATCAGAAGATTAATGGAACAGTAACTAACTAAATCACCAAGACATATTAATTCCCACATATTTGTGGCTATTGCAGCTTTCATTCTGTAATTGATTGCTATTTCATTATATGAAAAGGAAAGATACTTTGCATAATTTACTAAGATTTGTTAGTGGCCTAATGATTGGAGAATGTTCCATGCATATTTGAGAAAAATGTTGGGTGGAATGTTCTGAATATGTCTATTAAGCAACCAATAGGTCAAAGAAATCAAGGGAATTTAGAAAATATCTTAGGCAAACTATAATGAAAACACAACATACCAAAACTTATGTGAAAAAAGTTGTAAGAGAAATTTATAGCTGTAAATACTTACATTAAAAAAGATCTTAAATCAACTTTACAATTTATGAAACTAGAAAAAGAATTAATCCCCAAGTTAGTTGAAGACAGGAAATAATAAAGATTAAAGCAGAGTTGATGAATATATAATAGAAAAATAGTGTAGAAAAATCAATGATATCAAGAGTTGGTTCTTTGGAAAAGAGAAGGCTCAAATAATATCAGAAATTAGAGAGGGACATTACAACTGGTATCCCAGAAATACAAAGGATCATAATACTATGAACAACAACAAACCAGATAACCTAGATGAAATGGATAAATTCCTAGAAACTCACAACTTACTACAACTTAATAATGAATAGGACATGTAAACAGACCTATGACTGGTAAGGAGACTGCAACAGTGATCAGAAAGCTCAGTATCAGATGCCTTTATTGGTGAATTCTACCAAACATTAAAAGAAGAAGTAACACCAACTCTCCTCAAATTCTTTCAAACATTGAAGAGGACAAAACAACAAACTCAATCTATGAGGCCAGCATTAACCTGATACCAAAGCCAGACAAAGATACTGCAATAAAACTACAGACCACTATCCCTGATGAATATTGATGCAAGAATTGTCAACAATGCCCTGACCGGTTTGGCTCAGTGGATAGAGCATCGGCCTGCAGACTGAAGGGTCCCAGGTCGATTCCGGTCAGGGGCGTGTGCCTTGATTGCGGGCACATCCCCAGTGGGAGGTGTGCGGGGGGGCAGCTGATCGATGTTTCTCTCTCGTCGATGTTTCTAGCTCTCTGTCCCTTTCCCTTCCTCTCTGTAAAAAAATCAATAAAATATATTAAAAAAAAAAAAAAGAATTGTCAACAAAATAATAGCAAACTGATTTCCACAGCATATGAAAAAGATTATACACCAAATGAGATTTATTGCTGGATTTGCAAGGATGATTCAACACATGAAAATGAATGTAACACAACACACTAACAGAATAAAGGAAAATAATCACATGCTCATCTCAATGGACACTGAAAAACACTTGATAAAATTCAACATCTGTTCATAAAAACTCTTAACAGATTAGGTTTAGAAGGAATATACCTCAACATAATAACAGGCCATATATTGCAAGTCCACAGCTAACATCATAGTAAATGGTGAAAGGTTGAAAGTTTTTCCTCTAAGATCAGGAACAAGACAAGAGTGCCTACTCTTAGCACTCCCATTCAACATAGTACCAGAAATCCTAGCTACAGTAATCAGGCAAGAAAAAGAAAAAGGCATCAGAATTGGAAAGGAAGAAGTAAAATTGTCTATTTGTTAATTACATGATTTTATATGGAAAAAAACCCTAAAGACTCCATGAAAAAACTGTTAAGATCTAACCAACAAACTCACATTGCAGGATACAAAATTAACATTAAAATATGAGTAATGATTCTATACATTAATAATAAATTATCTATAACAGAAATATAACAATCCCCTTTACAAACTGCATCAAAAAGAAAAAAAATACTTAGGAATAAATTTAACCAAGGAGGTGAAAGACCTGTACACTGAAAACTATAAGACATTGGTAAAAGTTATCAAAGAAGAGACAAGTAAATGGAAAGAATATTATTAAAATGTCCATATTACCAAAGCCACCTATCAAATCAATGCAACTCTCTATCAAGATTCCAATGACATTTGTTACAGATAGAGAAAAAATAATCCTAAAATTTATATAGAACCACAAAAGATACCAGAGACAAAGCAATCCTGAGAAAGAACAACAAACCGGAGGCATCATACTTCCTGATTTCAAACTACATATAAAGCTGTAGAAATCAAAACAGTATGGTATTGCATAAAAACAGAAACATAAACCAACAGAATAGAATCAAGTGCCCAAAAAGAAGCCCATGCACATAAGGTCAACTAATACTTTACAAGCCAAGAATACACAATGGGGAAAAAGAATGAAACTAGTCACCTATCTTACACCACCCACAAAAATTAATTCAAAATGGGTTAAAGACTTAAATCTAAGACCAAAAGCCATGAAACGCCTGGAAGAAAACTTGATAGTAAATAGGCAGTAATACAAACAAAATGTCATCCCATCGTGTTTAAATCTTTCACCCACAATGCAGTCCTGGGGTCGGAAGTTTGTCTTTAACACATCTAAGTTGTTTATATAAAGTTGAGGGTTTTATACTAAGTTGTTTACAGACCAGGTCATTACTTGAACTTGCACAATGGCTGGCTATAATTAGTAGACTCATCTGTTGTCATGGAAGCAAGTTTTACTTACTACTTATTTAATGTGTGTGCTAAAATAAAGATCAAATCTATAACCAGAATTAGCAAATTTTGACGTAACTGGTTATTTCACTTCGTTTTTTTTCAGACTTCCTTTAGAATGCACCAAATTAAAATAATCTATAATAATAAAAGCGTAATATGCATGCCCTGACTGGTTTGGCTCAGTGGATAGAGCGTCGGCCTGCGGACTGAGGGGTCCTGGGTTCGATTCCAGTCAAGGGCATATACCTTTGTTGCAGGCACATCCCCAGTAGGGGGTGTGCAGGAGGCAGCTGATTGATGTTTCTTTCTCAACGATGTTTCTAACTCTCTGTCCCTCTCCCTTCCTCTCTGTAAAAAATCAATAAAAATATATATTTTTTAAAAAGCGTAATACGCAAATGGAATGACCGTCCGGACGAAGCCAGGGCTGTGAAGGCCTACTCTTGCATGAATTTATATAGACCTCTTGTCTAATCTAATAAAAGAGAAGCATGCAAATTGACTGTACCTTCGCTATGCCCCCAAACCACGCCCACCAGCCAATCAGAGCGACTATATGCAAATTAACCCAACCAAGATGGCGGCAGCCATGGAGCTGGAGCTAGCAGGCAGCTTGGGTTGCCCCCGGCGATGGAGGAAGCCAAGCTTCCCACCTGCCCTGGCTGGCCCTGGGCTACGCTCAAGGCTACAAAGTTTCAATTATAGAAGATAAATAAATCCCAGAAAAAAGAAAAAAAGGAGAGGCTGGGAGCTTGGGTCACCGGGGGGGCGTGGCCAGCCTGAAAACGGCCCTCAGCCCCTCACCCAGGCTTGCCACACCCCCATGGGGTGAGGGTCCCCACTGGGGGGCTTGACCAGCCTGCAAACAGCCATCAGCCCCTCACCCAGGCTGGCCAGGCACCCCAAAGAGACCCCCACCCTGATCCGGGACACCCTTCAGGGAAAACCAGCCGGCCCCCGCCCATGCACTAGGCCTCTCTCCTATATAATAAAAGGGTAATATGCAAATTGATCCTAACAGCAGAACGACTGGGAATGACTGGTCACTATGACACACACTGGCCACCAGGGGGCAGACACTCAATGCAGGAGCTGCCCCCTCGTGGTCAGGGCACTCCCACTTCTGCTCAGCCAAAAGCCAGGCTCACAGCTGGCAAGCGCAGCGGCAGTGGTGGGAGCTTCTCCCGCTTCCGTGGCAGCACTAAGGAACAGCGAGCTGAGTGGTAAGGAGCAAGCAGGCGGGTGTTAAGGAGCAAGGGACCCCGGACTGTGAGAGAGCGCAGGCTGGGCTGAGGGACACCCCCCAGTGCATAAATTTTGTGCACCGGGCCTCTAGTACTGTAATAACATGTTAAATACTGGTAAGTTTGTAGACTTCCTAATTTGTTCATTTAATGACTTCTATTGATAAATCCCCATCATCATGCCATCATTGACGGCTCTTAAATATGAATATAGTAAGTTCATACAGCATAAACCATCTCGCAGAAGACATCTTAAAACTCTACAGTCACTGCAACGTATTTGTCTCTATTCAACTTGTTGGAGGACTTACCAAGATCAGTTTTATTCAGTGCCCCATGTTATGCTAATTTAATCTAAAATGTATCATTTTATGTAATTAGGGTAGCTCCTAATTTCATCACCCAACCCATTGTTAAATATTGTCCTAAGAGAGAGATTCCAATGGAGCAACACTTTCAGCTTGACACAACCAAAAGCTATAGCCAATATTTATAGTATACAAAATGTTTTCACACATATTGATATTTGAGCCTTCATTTGTTAGCAATCATTTGTTAGATACTGGGAATACCAAGGTGATCCTCACAATAACTCTAACAGTGGTTATCAAAATGTTATCTCAGACCCAGGGGCATCATCACCTGGGAATCTGTTAAAACTGCACACTCTCAGGCCTAACCCCAGATCTACTGAAACAGAAACTCTGGGGTGGGGCCCAGCAATCTAGGGTTTAATGAGCCCTCCAGGTGAACCAGTGACCTGTAAAATAGCCCCTTGTATTATATACTAGAAAATTGAGGCTCAAAGAAGGATACAACAAACGAGATAAAAAGAGACTTTTCTTCGTCATTTATCCCAAAATTAGAAAAGTGTCTGGCATATAATATGGGCACAAAATAAAGATCTGTTGGATGAAAATAGTGAGTGAATCCTCCAAAGAGTTGTGCTATCACCCAATTATAGCAATTGCCCAAGCAATGTAATTCTAACTTACTGAAAATGTACATATTGATATTGAGTGTATTTCTCAAAAGAGAAATGTTTACCATGACAACAAGAATTATAATTAAAAAACTATTTAGTTTTGAATATTGCATAAAAGAGGAAGCTATCAAAGTTGATCACTACCAAAACCTTTCCATGTTTCCATACCTTGCTATTCTGTCTTAATTTACTTAGCTCCGATTTATATTTTTCTGCTTCTTCTAGAGCTCTATTCAAGCGAACCTCCGTGGCACTTTGCGTAGTGGCAGCTTGTTTTTGTAGTCTTCTTTTATTTTCTAATTCCTGTACAGTAAAAAGAAAATGTATGGAACATTTATAAATATATCATAAGTTCCCTCTATTAGTCTGCAATATTTTCCATTTTATATTCCTTGCTTTCTTTGAAATTTTACACACACCACTACCACCACAACCAGAGACTATAGAGTTCTCAGAGAATTCTTACCCTGAATTGGTATTAGAAAAATATATCTTTAAAGATATAGTTGCAAATTAAGCTTTCAGGTTACTGTTTGTTTGGAATTTCCTGCCTCTTTTTATTGATCCCAAGATACAGTAGTCATGCCTCCCTCCATTTTATAAGTAACTCTTTATAACTACAGTTATTCCTTTGGGAACAACCCAAAACATCAAATGTAAGACACAAACTCATAAATACTGTTTGTGTAAACCTGACAAACATTTTAAAAAATAATTGTTAAACACAGAGCATTCTACATTAGCCTTACAGGGAAATCCCAATTCTATGCAAAAACAACAGCTCTTAGGAGTTATTTTCCACATATCAGAGTGGGTTTAGACCTGCATTTCTGCAAATATTCTCAGAGATGCTGTTGCAGAGAATCTATAGGCCAAACAAAAAGAAACATGAACATATAGGATAAACTCCCAAATCCACCATAATCTGGCACCATAATCTCATTTCCTGCCACAGGTGTTAACTTTGGCTATATCAACAGTACTTGGATATCTCCCAAACCATCATGATATTTCTTGCCTCTGAGCCTTTGCTCATGCTCTTCCTTCTGCCCTGACCCCTCCCTACTCTTCATTTTTATCTGGGTAGCACATACTCACCCTTTAAGAAGCTAGGGCTAGTCACTATGGTTTTACCTTCTCCCAGAAGCCTTTCCTCTCTATCCTCCCAGGTTAGATTAGGTAGCCTTTCTTCAGAGCTTCAATAGCATCCTGATATACATACACAGTAGTCCCTGTTGTATGAAACTGAATCTGTCCATTTGTTTGTTCCCCCACTATAGTGTAAGTTCCTTGAGGATAGGAACTGTCTTAATTTCTATATTCCCAGAACTCTGGTGGCATACAAGAGGCACTAATGACATGTTTATTGAATGGATTTTATTTTGAAATACTTCACTCGATCTTCTCTGTATCACCTGCAATGCCTAGTACGAGCCTTTTACAAAGAACATACTCACTATGGAACTGAAATGAGGGAGTTAAAAATACAGTTAACTGTTTTTTTCTTTTGTAAGTTTTTCTCCTGGCTGTATCACTATGCTGTATTTGAAAACCGATCTCCCTGGCTCCAAGTAATTACAGGGAAAACAAAACACATGCTGCTCTTTATGTAGGTTTCTAAACAAATCAAACTGTGTATGGATACCATCTGCTATCACCAGCCTCTTCACAGCTTTCTGGTGGTTGCTTACACTAAGAACTAGCCTGATTTATCTCACTGTTCACATAGAAAAGGCAAAGATTCTCGTTAACTACAAAGTCCACAATTCTTGGTGATTTTGTAACCTACTTCACAGAAAAATGAAAGCCATCCTTCACCACATGATGTCCTCCCTGACCCTGAATCAATACTGCCCACTCCCTTTCTTAAAAGTGAAAAAACGTATAGTCAGAAGAATAGTAAAGTAGGAAATAAAGTTTTCCTCTGTAAGTAAATCCACTATAGAAAGGAAAAACCTTATTAAAAACTTGAAAGCATTTGTTTTCAATCATTTCAAGTACTTTTTACAAAATGCAGACAGGATACCAATACTGTTATGAGAGAACTTGCATCCTGAAATTACTCAATATAAAGCAAATATACAGTTACAAAAATTAAGCAGTTTTCATATCGCTAGAGAAAAATTTTGTGAAACCAAAAAATAGCTGAGGTACCGATACATATATCAAACAATGATAAGTTATTAAAAGTGGGGCCCCTTAAAACTCAAGATAAAAAAAAGAAACCAACAAAACCAACAAAAACAAAACAAAACCCATTTACCATTGTAACAAAATCATTAAGATACCTAGGAATAAACTTAAATAAGGAGGTAAAAGACCTGTACTCAGAAAACTACAGGACCTTGAAAAAAGAGATAGAAGACATTAACAAATGGAAGAATATACCATGTCCATGGACTGGTAGAATCAACATCATTAAAATGTCCATACTACCCAAAGCAATCTATAGGTTCAATGCAATCCCCATTAAAATACTAATGGCATATTTCACAGACCTAGAACAAACTCTCCAAAAATTCATATGGAATGAAAAAAGACCCCGAATATTTGCAGCAATCTTGAGAAAGAAGAACAAAGTTGGAGGGGTCACAATACCAAATATCAACCTATATTACAAAGCTATTATTCTCAAAACTGCCTGGCACTTGCACAAGAACAGACATATAGACCAATGGAACAGAACAGAGAACCCAGAAATTGACCCAAGCCATTATGATCTGCACTAATAAAAGACAAAGATGCTAATTGACTGTACCTTTGCTATGCCCATCAGCCAATCAGAAGAGTATGCAAATTAACCCAACAAAGATGGCCGTTAAATTTGCATACTGCAGGCAGGGCGGGACAGCACCATCCGCCGCCTGCCCCGCCGCCATCCGGGCCTGCTATCTGCGACCCGTGGTGGCGGGGCAGGACAGCACTGATCCGCTGGCCCGCCTGGCCGCCATCTGGGCCTCCCATGTGCTACCCGACCTGGGGCAGCCGGGTGGGACAGCAGCGATCCGCCGGCCCGCCCGGCCGCCACCTGGGCGTCCCGTGTGCGACCCGACCCGGAGTGAAGACTGAAGACAGTGTAGAAGGAAGCCAAGCTCTGCAGAAGGGAGTAAAATGGCGGAGAAGGGAATGGAGACGGGAGCGGAGCTGAGGCAGCGGACATGGAAGGGAGTGAGGCAGCAGAGATAGGAGGGAGCAAAGTGGCAGAGAAGGGAGGGAGCGAGGCAGCAGAGAAGGGAATGAAGCCCACAGTGGCTTTGCTCCCTTCTCTGCTTCGCTCCTGCCTCAGGAAGCCCTATTCTTTTTCTTTTTTTAAAATATATTTTATTGATATTTTACAGAGAGGAAGGGAGAGAGAGAGTTAGAAACATCGATGAGAGAGAAACATCGATCAGCTGCCTCCTACACATCTCCTACTGGGGATGTGCCCGCAACCAAGGTACATGCCCTTGACCGGAATCGAACCTGGGACCTTTCAGTCCGCAGGCCGACGCTCTATCCACTGAGCCAAACTGGTTTCGGCAGGAAGCCCTATTCTTGAAGGAATAGGCCCGAGGAAGCCCTATTCTTGCAGGAATCTTCCTGCAACGGGCCTCTAGTCAATTAATATTTGATAAAGGAGGCAAGAGCATACATTGGAATCAAGACAGTCTCTTCAATAAATGGTGTCGGGAAAATTGGTCATATACATGAAAAAAATTAAACTAGAACACCAACTTATACCATACACAAAAATAAACTCAAAATGGATAAAGAACTTAAACGTAAGACAGGAAACCATAAAAATCTTAGAAGAATCCATAGGCAGCAAAATATCAAACATATGTCTTAGCAATATCTTTACTGATACAGCTCCTAGGACAATGGAAACCAAGGAGAAAATAAACAAATGGGACTACATCAAACTAGAAAGCTTCTGCACAGCAAAAGACACCATCAACAAAACAACAAGAAAGCACACTGCATGGGAGAACATATTTGCTAATGTTATATCTGATAAGGGCCTAATCTCCAAAATTTATAGGGAACTCATACATCTTAACAAAAAGAAGATAAACGATCCAATCAAAAAATGGGCAAAGGACTTAAATAGACTCCTTTCAAAAGTGGACATACAGAAGGCCAAGAGACATATGAAAACATGCTCTAAGTCACTAATCATCCGAGAGATGCAAATCAAAACAACAATGAGATACCATCTCACACCTGTCAGAATGGCTATCATCAACAAATCAACAAATGACACGTGCTGGTGAGGATGTGGAGAAAAAGGAACCCTCGTGCACTGCTGGTGGGAATGCAGACTGGTGTAGCCACTGTGGAGAACAGTATGGAGTTTCCTCAAAAAACTAAAAATGGAACTCCCATTTGCCCCGGTGATCCCACTTCTAGGAATATATCCCAAGAAACTAGGAACACCAATCAGAAAGGATATATGCACCCCTATGTTCATAGCAGCACAATTCACCATAGCTAAGATTTGGAAACAGCCTAAGTGCCCATCAGTAGATGAGTGGATTAAAAACCTGTGGTACATCTACACAATGGAATACTAAGCTGCTATAAAAAAGGAGTTCTTACCATTTGCAATAGCATGGATGGAACTGGAGAGCATTATGCTAAGCGAAATAAGCCAGTCAGAGAAAGATAAACATCACATGATCTCACTCATTTATGGAATATAGTGAACCACATAAACTGATGAACAAAAACAGATCCAGAGACAGAGAAGCATCGATCAGACCGTCGAATCTCAGAGGGAAGGTAGGGGAGGGTGGGGTAAGGGGGAGAGATCAACCAAAGGACTTATATGCAAGCATATAGGCCTAACCAATGAACACAGACACCAGGGGGGTGAGGGCATGAGAGGGGGGGATGGGGAGTAATGTGGGGATAAGGACACATATGTAATAACTTAATCAATAAAGAAATTTAAAAAAATAAAATACAAATGCAAGTTGTAATAAGATACTACTTCTGCCCTCTAATATGGCTAAAATTAAAAAGATTGACAATATCAAGTGATGCTACAGGATCACTGGAACTCTCATATATTGCTAGTGGGAATAAAATCACTGTGGAACACAATTTGACAGTTTCTTTAAAAAATTAAACATGCACTTTCCATAATACCCAGAAATTCTACTCCTAGTTATTTATTCAACATCATGAATGATACTGGATGTGTCTATACATACATACAAAGTGTGTCTACACAAAACACTGGTACATGAAAATTCATAGTGGCTCTATATCCAATGGTCCAAAGCTGGAATCAAATCAAATGCCCTTCAACTGGTGAACAGATCAACAAAAATAAATTCATAAATAAATACTACTCAGCAATACAAGGGAATGAACCACACAACACACAACAGTATTGATGAATCTCAAAAACATTATGCTGAACAAATGAAGCCAGATGCAAAAAAAGGTACATACTTATGATTCCATCTACATGAAATTTTAGAACAGGAAAAACGAATCTGTAGTAAAGGATTGCAGATAAGTGATTGCCTGGAGCCATGGTTAGAGAGTAGAGATGGATGAGGAAGGGATACAATAGAAATGTGGGGGAAGGGGTGACGGAAATTTTCTTTATCTTGATTGTGGTGGTAGTTACAAGGATGGACTAGCTTGTAAAAACTCAATGAGTTGTACAATTGAAACAAGCATATTTTTTAAAAAAACAAGCATATTTTAATGCAGAGATCATTCACAGAAAAACAAAATCAATGCTGAAATAAAATGCTTTCTTTTTTGTTTGTTTTTTATTTTATTGGGGTTTTTTTACAGAGAGGAAGGGAGAGAGGTAGAGAGTTAGAAACATCGATGGGAGAGAAACTTCGATCAGCTGCCTCCTGCACACTCCCTACTGGGTATGTGCCCACAACCAAGGTACCTGCCCTTGACCGGAATCCAACCTGGGACACTGGCGTCCACAGGCTGATGCTCTATCCACTGAGCCAAACCGGTTAGGGCTGTTTTTATGTTCTAAAAATGACCTCATCTATTAGTGTCAGCAGCTAAAATAATATACATAACTGTTTAAATAGTTAGCTTTTGCGGGTTTACAGAAGCAGCTTCATTAAACTAAAGCTCTGTTTTATATTTCTGTGAACTGTACATTGAGATTTGTTGCTAGAAATATATAAAATAAATGCAATTATCAAAGAAAGATTCAGTCTTGAGTTCCATATAACCCAGAAAGAGTTATGCTTCTCTTGCTCCAAGGTAAATAAGGATGCAACCTGGGAATTTAGAGCAAATGAAAGTTTCCATAAAAATCTTCAGGTTGCCAATGTACCATAATTACTTAGTTACTATGAACCAAAAGTTTCAAATATTTAACTCTAAACAGCAAGGAGATTTTGGAACGACTGTGTGTTTAAGTCCATTTAATTTGGAGAGGGAGGGGGCAGTTGCAGAAAAAGTCTATGTGCTTTGTAGAAAAAACCCCCACTTTGTAGTCAAATACTGTTTGAATCCTGTTCTTTCACTCCTATGTGACCTTGGGCATTCTCCTTAACCTCTCAGACTCAGTTTCCTTTTTATAAAATGTTTTGCCTGGCACAAAGCACCCAAAATATGTTAGATCCTTTTCTGCCCATACAAAGGTAGTGTTACAGTCAATGTAGTCCTTTGGAAACGTTAATCTATTGGCATACTACAGGATACAATGGACAAGGAAAAGAGAAAGGACATAAAATAACCAGTAAGGAGGATCAGAAGTAATAGGAGCTTGAACCAAGTAGTGAGTGGCAATGGGAATTGAAGAAATGAATGAAAAACATTAAGAAGAAAGAATGCACAGGATTGAGTATGATGTCCAAGAACAAGAAAAGAATCAAAAATATAAACAAAGTTTTAAGATTATGCGAGACTAGAACAATGATATGACCAGAGCTGGGTTGCATAATGACAAATGATAAAGTGTTCATACCAATTAAAATTGTTGTTCCCCAGATAGAACAGCTTTTTTTCCTTAGGCCATTTGTCCAGATTTCTTAGCCCAACAGTAATATAATATATTTCTATTTAATTAAAAAATTTCTATTAGCCACTTTAATAAGTAAAATTAATTTTAATACTATTTCCCTTATCCCAATACATCCAAAATATTATTATTTCAACATGTAACCATTATAAAAATATTAATGAGATTTCACATTCTTTATTCTCTTTTATATTTAGTCTTCAAAATCTGATGTTTATTTTAAACTTTCAGCATGTCACAATTTGGACTAGGCACATATACAGTGAGTGGCTACCGTACTGGACAACACAGGCTTAGAGTATTAAATACTACAATCAATTTGTATTTCTAGATGAGTAGGTAGATAAAATTTGGTAATGTTACACTATTCAGCAATAAAAACGAGTGGACTACTACAACATGGGTGAGTCTAAAATGCTTTATGCTAAGTGAAAAACAAACAAACACCAGACTCAAAAGGCTACTATGTGGTTCTATTTATGACATTATGATAAGGGCCAAAAAATAAGAACCAAAAGAAATGAGTGTTGCCTGAGGCTGGGAGAAGAGGAAGGACTTGACTAAATTCACAAGGGAATTTTGTGGGATGATGGGCATGTTTTATATCTCAATTATGGTGTGGTTTCAGGACTGTGCATTTGTTAAAACTCATAGAACTGTGTAATAAAAGAGGTGATTTATTGTATATAAATTATATCCCAATAAATCTGATGTTAAAAAATGTATTACCAGATGATAATGCTAATTATACAGGGCCATAATGTTTAAAAATAGGCACTTTTATATGAACACACTAAAGAGAAATATGGCATTATAATGAAGAATGCATATTTTCTTGCTACTTAAATCTCAATACATGCTATGTTACATAAATTTAATCATCACTCAGTCTTACAAAATAATACTGCATAGTGTATTTTTGTTAACACAATGGTATGTAATATAAAAATTCTTAAGTAGGATAGTTTATTTAAAATATATTCTCCCTGAAGATATGACACCAAAAGCACAAGCAACCAAAGATATATTAAATAAATTGGATTTCAAAATTTAAAATTTTTGTGCTTCAAAGTACACCATAAAGAAAGTGCAAAGACAACCCAATGAATGGGAGAAATATTTGCAAATCATATATCTGATGAGGGACTGTATCTAGAATATATAATGATCTCTTACTACTCAATAATTTTAAAATTCTAATTTCAAAAATGGGCAAAGACCCTAACCAGTTTGGCTCAGTGGATAGAGCGTTGGCCTGTGGACTAAAAGGTCCCAGGTTCAATTCCGGCCAAGGGCATGTACCTGGGTTGTGGGCACATCCCAAGTAGGAGGTGTGCAGGAGGCAGCTCATCGATGTTTCTCTCTCATCGATGTTTCTAACTCTCTATCCCTCTCCCTTCCTCTCTGTAAAAAATCAATAAAATATATATTTTTTAAAATGGGCAAAGGATCTGAACAGACATATTTCCAAAGAAGATATACAAATGTCCAATAAACATATAAAATATCTTCAAAATCATGAGTTATCAGGAAAATGTACCTCAAAACTACAATGAGATAACCACCGCACACCAACAGAATGGCTATAATGAAAAAGATAATCTAACGTGTTGGTAAGAATGTAGAGAGAAATTAGAACCCTTATACACTGCTGGTAGAAATGTAAAAGTTGTATAGCTGGTTTGGAAAACAGTTGGCAGTTCCTCAAAAGTTAAATAAACGGTTAACCTATGACCCAGCAATTCCATTCCTAGGTATTTACCCAAGAGAAATGAAAGCATGTCCACACAAAAACCTGTATGTACATGAATGTTCATAGCAGCATGATTCACAAAAATTGGAAACCAACCAAAATGTCTATCAAATGATAAACAGATAAATGTGTTACAACTACATACTCCATGAAAAGTACTAAAGTAATGATATGTGCTACAGTGTGGATAAAACTTGAAAACATGTTAAGCTGAAGATGTCAGTCTCAAAATACCACACATTGTATGATGCTGTATATATGAAATGTCCAGAATAGTCAAATCTATTGAGACAAAAAGATTAGAAATTGCCTAGGACTGGAAGGGTTTAGAAGAAGAGGGATGGGGTACTTGGCTAAAGGGTATGGGTGTCTTTTGGAGTGATGAAATGTTCTCAAATTGATAGTAGTGGTAGTTGCACAACTGTGAATACACTAAAAGCCACTGAATTGTACACTAAAAGGGTGCGATGTATTCTCTGTGAACTATATCTCAATAAATCTATTAAAAATACTCTCCTATATAAGGAAGAAGAGTTTTTAGTCAACACTGACAAAATAACTAAACAACCAAAAGTGGTGTCTATCCAAATGTGCAACTATAGTGGTTTAGTGCATCTTTGGTTTTAGGTTAAGAAAAATAGCAAAATGATTACCCTTTCTACTGAAGACAGCTGTTGCTGTAATCCATCACATTTTTTGTTTGCTTCTTCGAAAAGAGTTTTATATTTTTCTGCTTGAGACTGTTGCAAATTAATTGTTCGCTGCTGTCTTACACAATCTTCCTCAAAATTTTTTACTTGAGACTTTAAATCCTGAATTTCATCCTCCTATAGTTATGAAATTATAGATTATGTTTAAAAATGCACTATTTGGTATATAAAAATGCACATGATTTAAAAATATAAAGCAGAAAACAAAAAGGAACTTCACATGATCTTTGATTTTCATTTTAAAAAAATGAAAGTCACATATTTTATTTGTGCTTAATAGCTTACACTTATAAGTCTAATATAAAGAATTCTAATTGCTAACAAGTATTTAAAATTACTTAGCTCTGAAAATTCCACATCTTAGAATGGAGTTCAGTGTTTACATATAATTTTTAATTCAAAATTTAACTGAATTATATCTCAATGAAGCTAATTTAAAAATATAATTTAAATTATTCCTAAAATGTCTTAATATTAGAGCATATACATTGAGAGCTTTTAAAAACTAACCTTTCTATTGCATTCACATACAACATTATCCAATTCCTGCTGCATAACACGGAGTTTGGCCTTCAGAAATCTGATCTGTGCTTCTGTGGATTTAAATAATTATATTTATTGCCTTTCACTGAATCTAAAACGTCATCATTTATAAGAGAGACCATTATATTATGAAAGAACAAACACGTTCAAGATGGGAATCTAACAGGAGATCCCTGTTTGGGAAGACTAAATACTCCTAATTTAAAGATAAATTAACAAATCACCCAACAGAAACAAATGCTCACATTTCAACAGTGGAACCAAGTAAAAAAAGGGGGGGGTTCGGGGGGGGACCAAAGCACTCCTGAGAATCTGAACCACAGGCATGCGTCTGCGTACACACTTTCTGTTCCCAAGCTCTTATCAAGGTCCCCAGAGTCCCCGTGGAGCTGATGAGCTGCAGTTGGTTCTAACCCACCTATAGCCTCAACTCTCTTTCTAGCTTCTCACATAACTTCAGGCTAACAGGGATAGAAGGGGAATGATAAATTCAAAAGTGTGACATTTGCAGTAGTTGGTCTCTAGGGGAAAAGAAAGAAGAATGGGAGAGCATGACTTTTTCCTACTATCTCTTTCTCTCCCCCACTTTAGGTACACAGCACTAACCTCCCCATCCCACTCCAACTATTAGTCTTACAAAGCAATCTGTGCTGCTAAACTACTTTTTGATCTTTTCCTCCCTCAGGCAATCATCCGGAATAAAAGAATAAAAGGGGAGACATGCAGGGCAAAAATTCTCAAAAAGGGGGTAAAGATGCAGAGGGGTAATTGAGCAATTAGAAAAAGTAGTTTGTGCTGGTTCCCTGTATCAGGGAAGAGGAATACTGTAACAGGGCCATGTTCACTGTGTGCCGAGGAACAGCTAACATCTGACCATTGTGTCCTTGAAGGCATCTTAACAGAGACACAAAGGCAACACCCTGCTTCATTTAACTTCCTTCTTGACAACTAGCCCCAGAAAGCTTGGATAGGTCAATAAATATAGTAAATGCATAAATATATTTCTCTTCACTTATGACTAACTAGCATGCAGCACAACAATCATTACACATATAATTGTTGTGATTTTCACAGAATCAGATAATTTTAAAGATAAAGTTTATAATCATCTAATACAAAGTGCTAAATTTTGAAACTAATATATTGCTATTATAGAGGGGCTAAGTGGCTTGTCTGAACTCACAATTAATTATAGTTCAGCATTAACTATGTACATATACACTGAACTGTCTTATCTTTTGTTTACAATAGTATTGGTGACTCCTCACAAACTCAACATAATTTTAGAGGCATTACTGGTAACTAACAATGTCTTCAGATGATCTAAACTTAGTCCTATTATGTTTCTAGTGGTCTGACAAAAATGAGTTTATAAGAAAGAAAATTATATTGGTTAGAAAACTCATTTGATCATTTTACCTGATGCTACATCTATAGTTCATTTATCCTTTTGACGTGTTAATTTAATATGCAATAAGAAGAATATAATAATGGTAAATGAAAAAATTCAAAGAATCATGTGGGGTGTGTGGTTTTGTTTTTTTTTAATTTTAATGTTTTAAGGATTAGTTTTGGGACATTTTAACCTTAGTTGAAGAGTGGTCAATGAAACCAACACCATAAAAGTAGAGACTAGTTCAATGAAGCAGTTACTTTCCCATGATCCACTTTCATAATTACTGACTCATAACCAATTACTTCAGTTACAATCCCACTCATTCCTTCCACCATCATGTCCCACTAGATCAGTGGTTCTCAACCTGTGGGTCGCGACCCCTTTGTTGGTCTAACGACCCTTTCACAGGGGTTGCCTAAGACCATCCTGCATATCAGATATTTACATTACGATTCATAACAGTAGCAACATTACAATTATGAAGCAGCAACGAAACTAATTTTATGGTTGGGTCACAACATGAGGAACTGTATTTAAAGGGCAAGAAGGTTGAGAACCAATGCACTAGATGATTTTGAAACAAATACATCACAATATATTTTAAAATGCAAAAAAGTTCCTAAATATCTTTTTCTAATTAACTGTGATATAAATAAAAGAAAACTTACCTGTTCCAATGTCTTTACTAGCACCACAAAAAATATCATCATCTATATAATCAGGTAGGCCTTCTTCTTCCAGTTGCCCTTCAATTTTGCTAACTGTTTTTGCAAGAGAAAAGTCTGAGAAATCCTCTGGAATGGCAACATCATTGGCAGTTGGTACATCAGAGTATTTCAACTTTATACTAAAAAAGAAAATTACATATGTAAATGTACATTACACATACTGTATATGTAAGACCCCTAAATATGACTTATCCAAATAACAAAGCATATCAAAATTATCATAAAATTTAAATTTATGATGAAACCTATAGTTGATACTTTCAAGGACTATAAGTGTCTTAGTAGACTTTCCACCTTTATGAATTACAGAACCACAGAGCTAGAGAAGGCTTTGTGAGGCCTGTTTATTTTAACATTGCCTCCAAACAAATGAACATCAAAAATAAAAGTACTAAACTTGGCCTCCTTGGTCAAATCTAGCCTGTGGCTTTTAATTTCACAAGCTGCTGGAGAAGACCTGTACAAATAATAGCACTCTAGCCATAATTCTGCAAACACTAAAAAAATAATATCTCTTGAGAAAGAATTACAGAGTAAACACTTCTTAGCTCAAACTCAACATTTTTTTCAACCTAAAAAAACACATTGTAACCAGGATCAAAGTCGACCAAAAAGTTGGATTTACTTTTGATACAAAAGCAAAAGCTTCTGAATTTTATTTTGAAAAGCAACCTTTTCTTTGTAAAAGTAAACATGAAGTCTAAAAAATAAGATAACCTTTCCAGTATATAGTATGTGTTCTCTCTTCTTCAATTAATCAATTTTTAGATTTTTCTTCCTATCCTTTCACTCTATTTTTTTCCTCTATTTATTGAAGAAAAAAAAAAAGGTTATTTAGCCAATTAACAGACACAAGAATTAACAAACATTTTTCCCAAATTAGGAGTTTAGGCAAGTAATCCTATCTAATAAAAGAGAAATATGCAAATTAACCATCACTCCGCAACAAAGATGGCAGCGCCCATAGTGGTCCGGGGCGGGACACTGGCGGTGTCGCCCCAGCAATGCGAGCCCAGCATCTGTGCCCCGGCCACGTGGAGGGAGGAGAGGGTCCCAGACCCGGCCACGTGGAGGGTGGGGAGGGGCCTCGGGCCAGAGGCCAGGGTGAGGGATGCTGGGCTCACGGTGACGCAAGCCCAGTGTCCCCGCCCTGGCCATACAGAAGGAGGAGAGGGGCCTCGGGCCAGAAGCTGGGGCGAAAGATGCTGGTGTCGTTGCAGGCCGGGCTGAGGAACCCCCCACCCCCCGTGCATGAATTTCGTGCACCAGGCCTCTAGTAGACATATAAATTGAATAACCCTGTGAATAAGAAGCTGATTGGTACAACCCACAGCAGGTATGACCCTCCTTTCCTAGAAAGTCTCCAACCCAAAGAGCCTCATGGGCCCCATTTTTAATACATAAAGTACTAAGACCAGTCTTGAATTATTTTTCATCAAAAACAATAAAATGTAAATTATATTATAGTCTTAGAGCAAGTCAAATCATTCTATGTCTCAAATACAGTAAGGTATGGTGCCATTAAATACTCAAAAAGTATATGCAATTTCGTTTACTTGAGAGAAGTAGGCAGAAAATAACATCTAGGTTCTAGTCATAGTTCTAAGAAAATACAAAATTAACTACTGCAAGACATTTCTGATAGAAAATGTTTTAAATTATTGAGTGTGGACAGATATATATATATGTGTGTGTGTGTGTGTGTGTGTGTGTGTGTGTGTATTGTAATTTTGTATATTTTGTGGTAAAAAAGACCTGGAGAAACAAAAAACTTAATAATTAAGAATGGCCTGACCAGCGTAGCTCAGTGGTTGTGCATTGACCTATGAACCAGGAGGTCATAGTTTGATTCCCGGTCAAGGGCACATGCCCAGGTTGCAGGCTCAATAGCCATTTTGGGGCATGCAGGAGGCAGCCAATCAATGATTCTCTCTCAGTGTTGATATTTCTATCTCTCTCTCCCTGTCCCTTCCTCTCTAAAATCAATAAAAAATATTTTAAAAAAAGAATGATACTACTGTAAATTATAAAATTTAGGGAAAAAGTATACTTTTAAAACTGTACTATACCTTGAATTTGTTTTCTTTCCTTTATTTGCAGAGTGTAGTTTTTTTTTAACCTTGTTTACTGGATCAACATTTTTGCTCTTTGGCTATATGAAAAAAATTTAAATTATTGGTTAGTTAGATTCTAATCATGTGCTAAAGTAAGTAATTCAGACTTGTTGGTTTGCAACATAAAAGAATTGCTATTTTCATGAAGTGAATCAAACTGTATTTTTTAAAATCCCAGAATTCTATAGCTGGAAAAGACCTAGATGATATTAGGACCAAGAGATTCCAAGACAAAGAAAATGAGTCCCAAAGTTTCAAGGATATTCAGCTAGCGGGTCATACGTTAAACTGAATGTTCTGACTCACAGAATTTAGTTCCCCTTACTGATTATTCCCCCGATGGCTTTCATGTGTACCAACCATGTCAAACTTGCAGCCAGCCGTGAGTTTGACATGCTTGATGTATACTGTTACTTAGACCTACATCCCCATGGGTGGGGAATTTACAGTCCACAGTAAGCTCGGCACCTACAATAGTGATCCCTACGTGTAAATATTTAAATGAATGAATAAACCTTTTAAAAATACATTCATTGTATATAAATACTTTTCTTTTTCAGATTTTCTATCTATAAATTTGGGCTTTAGAGAGAAAACTAAAATATCCTTAGGGTACAGACTCATTTCACTTAGAATTTTTTCCATCATAGCTCCAAATTGTTCAGTGAAATTATGAGACAAAAATGGATTTCATTTATTTTATGAGCAAAATTTCATGAAGACATCTCTTCTGAGTATCAAGCTTATATTCTATTTCTAGAGTCATAACACTTCTCTGTTTTAAGAAAAGTCTTTAAAAAACCCCTAAATTTTACAGAATGTAATTATACTCACAAAAAATTTGATTTCATACCTGAGTTTCTGAATATAGATGAACTGTCCCTTCAGATAAGAGACCTCTAGAGACCAAAAATAAACATACATTAATAATAATAGATGATATTGAGCTGAGACCCAATAAAATTCAACAGCAACTATATTTGAAAGGAAAAAATGTACATCAAGTAGACTTCGCTATAATTTTAAGCATGCATATGTTAATTTATTTAACGTGAGTGTCACAAATAAGAAAAGTGGTTTGTTGAATAAGTCACCTTAAAAATACTGTACTTGAATTCTCCCATAACCACATCAAAATTACAACTAAACTACAGAACAACCATCATTCAGAACCACCTGAAATATAGCTGAATGTAAGTCCTCATCAAGTTTAAAGAAGAAGCCTCATCAAGACTAGTAGGGGGGAGCAGAGATGTGGAACGGGCTGGTCCCACACCTACATATGGTGATAAAAACTGGGAGGGATATCTCAGCTGTGGAGGTCCCTCCTGAGGAGTGAGGGGTCCCAGCCCCACACCAGGTCCCCCCAGCCCAGGGTTCCAGGGCCAAGAAGAGAAGTCTCCATAACTTCTGCTATAAAAACCAACAAGAATCTCTGGTTGGTGTGACTCAGTTAGCTGGGCATCGTCCCATGCACCTAAAGGTTGCTGATTTGATTCCTGATAAGTGAACATGCCCAGGTTGTGGGTTCAATCCCTGGCAGGGAGCCTGCAGGAAGCAGCTGACCAATGTTTCACTCTCACATTGATGTTTCTCTTTCTCCCTCTCCCTGCCTCTCTCTCTAAAAATCAGTAAGAAAATCTTTTTAAAACACACACAACAAAACCAGCATGGACTATGGCTGAGTAAGACCAAGGGCTTCTGGAGTTTGGGCAGTTCCTTTAAAAGGAACCATGTGCTGACCTACTGGACTCACTCCCTCTGAGGTCTAGCACTGGGGCAACAGACTGAAAGGAACCAGGGGCATACAGGGAGGAACTGGATTGTGTGGCATCAAGGTGAAAGCTGTGGGTAGACAGCTTTCTGTCAGATAAAAGTGCTGGCAGAGCCCTGGCTGGGTAGCTCAGTTGCTTAGATGTCTGATTTACCAAGGTTGCAGGTTCCATCCTCAGGGCACATATAAGAATCAACCAATGGATGCATAAATAAGTGAAACAACAAATAGATGTTTCTTTCTTTCATTCTCTCTCTCCCCCGCTAAAATCAATAATTTTTTTAAAAAATGTTTAAGTGCTGACAGAGGCCACTGTTCCTTTTCTGAGACCCCTGCCATAGAGCCAGCAGGTGAGTACCTTATCTGAGTCTCAATAGTCACACTGTTCACCCTGCCCTGGTGATTTCCTGAAACCCTGTCCCCCCCAACTTGTGAGCCTATCCAAGCTGTTTCCAGTAGGTTTCCCAAACAAATGGTCTATCTTGGCTCATGCTTCAGACTTTCATAAAAATCTCTCTAACAAGCAACATCTGGCCTCAGTGTACCCCATACCTCCAGCTAAGTGACCCCAGGCCCGGCACAAGCAGCAGCTGGCCTTGGTTCGCAGTTTGGCCTTGCCAGGGCATCTCCAAGCCCAGCACAAGTAGCAGCCATCTGCAGATCTCTTTGTAGCTCATGCTGGCGAGCTCCAGGCAGAACACAAGCAGCAAATGAGCTTGGCCAGCACCTCTCAGGAGGCCTCAGAGCCAGTGCACCCAGTAAACATCTTCAGACCATATTGAAGCACCACCCAACCACCTCCACAAGTGACACACTCAAGTAAATCCTTCTCTGTGGGGTGGGCCCCAGCACAGCTATCCTCCATGGTGGTTGGTGGTCACAGCCAGTCCCTGCAGACACCTGGCCTGGGGGTAGCTCCCTTCCATTGACATGCCAATAGCAATCAAGGCTCAACTACAACAGAAGGGTGTACAGAGCCCACATAGGGGGTCTACACCTGGAGTGCCCAGCTCAAGTGAATGGAGAGGCTATGCCATTGGACCCTACAGGACATCTACTACATAAGGTCACTCTACCAAGCCTGGGAAATAGCAGATCTATCTAATACACAGAAACAAACACAGAGAGGCAGCCCAAATGAGGAGACAAAGAAACATGTCCCAAATAAAAAACAGAACAGCCCATCAGAAAAAGAACTAAACAAAATGGAGACAACCTATCAGAAATAGAGTTCAACACACTGATTATAAGTATGCTTAATGAACTTAGTGAGAACTTAGAAAGAAGAGATAGGAAACAAAAACAAAGATAGAAAATTTAAAAAAAAAAACCAGAAATGAAGAATACACACTAACTGAAATGAAGACTACATTACAGGGAATCACCAGTACAGGAGATGAAGCAGAGAAATATAAGGAAGCAAAAAACCCCAATTGGAACAGCAAAAAGAAAAAAAATCCAAAAAAGTAAAGGAGCCTCTGGGACAACTTCAATGTACCAACATTGGAATCATGGGGGTTTCTGAAAGGAGAAGAGAGAGAGCAAGAAATTGAAAACATATTTCAAGGAAAAAAAAAATAGAAAACTTCCCTAATCTAGTGAAGGGAATAGACATGCAAGTCCAGAAATCAGAGTCCCAAAGTTGAACTCAAAGAGGCCCACACCAAGACACATCAGAATTAAAATGCAAAGGTGAAAGATAAAGAATCTTAAAAGCAGCAAGAGAAAAGCAGTTAGTTACCTACAAGGAAGCTCCCATACAAGCGTCAGCTGATTTCTCAACAGAACCTTTGCTGCCCAGAAGGGATGGGCAAGAAATATTCAAAGTGATAAACAGCAAGGACCTACGGCCAAGATTACTCTATCCAGCAATGCTACCATTTAAAATCAAAGGACATATAAAGAGCTTCACAGATAAGAAAAAGCTAAAGATGTTCATTACCACCAAACCAGTATTACATGAAATGTTAAAGGGTCTTGCTTAAGAAAAAAAAGAAAAGAAAAAAAATGAACAATATTAAATGGTAATAAATACATATCTAACAACTGAATCTAAAAAAAAATAAACAAAAAGAATAGAAAGACTCATAGATACAGAGAACATTTTACGGTTACCATATGGGAGGGAGGTTGGACACAAGGGGGGAAAAAGATAAAATAAGAAGTACAAGTTGGTTGTTACAGAATAGTCTTGGGAATGTAAAGTACAGCATAGGGAATAGAGTCAATAATCCTATATAACAAAAGCCTAATATGCAAATTGTCCCCTCAACTGGGAGTTCGGCCGGGAGTTCAACCAGGGGCAGGGCTGGCCCCTCCCTGACTAGCCCCGCCCCCAATCAGCCACCCCCACTACTATCGGGGGCAGGGCTGGCTGGCCAACCTCCCAGGTGCCCTTCCCCCAGCCAGCCAGCCCGATTAGCCTGATCAGGGAGGGTGGGCCAGACCCCACCTGTGCACAAATTATGCACTGGGCCTCTAGTATTCTAATAACTATGTATGGTTTCAGATGGTTACAAATTTATTTGGATAATCACTTAGTAAATTCTGTAAGGTGTAATCACTGGGGTGTACATTTGAAACTAATGTTTTTAATGTATGTCAACTGTAACTGAACAATAAAAAATGATTAAAAAGAAATAATTTACCTTTGATAAGATATATTATACATTAGGGTCAATTTTTTAAAGAAAAATATAGCATAAATCTTAATAACTGGCAAATTATAAGAACTGATTATTGGTTATACATGGGGATTATCTATTTTACAAAATGATTCACCACAGGGCTTTTTATTGTGCACCCACTCAATGTTATCCTTTTTCTAAAGCATTTAAATACCTGGTCGGTGTCTGTTTTCCCCATTACATTGTAAACTTCATGATGGTAGTAATCATGATGGTAGTAATCATGCCTAGTACTTGGCATAGTATATGGCATATAAGCTTTTAAATTGGTACTAAATATTTGTTAACTGTATAATAAAGTATATTTAAAATACGATTTACCTTTATGCACAAAATTTTCAAAATATATTTGTAATTTATTTCCAGTTACAGTTGACATTCAATATCTATATATATAAAACCCTAATATGCAAATAGACCAAGTGGCAGAACAACTGAACAACCAAACAATCTGTCGCTATGACGTGTGCTGACCACCAGGCGGAAGATGGCAGGCGTCAGCCACAGCAGAATGGTGGAGCAGGTGAGGGGGGACGCCAGACCAAGGCAGGGCACCAGTCGCTGTCATCGGGGTGAGCTTCTGGTGGTTACTGAAAATTCTTAGCTCCCGCATGCCGCGGTCCCGCCTGGCGCTTGGACCAGCGCTGTCAGCGCGTGGGAGCGGCAGTGGCGGAAGCAGGGCTGCCGGCAGACAGGGGACCTAGGGCCGTGGCAGGAGGGGCCAGGCAGGGGGAGGATGGGCTGAGACCCGCCCCTGTGACTACCACAGCCTCTGTGGCCCACAGTTCCTTTCAAGGTGTACGAATTTGTTTACTGGGCCCCTAGTTATTTTATATTAGTTTCAGGAGTACATCATAGTGTACCAGTATATAAATTATAAATTTATGTAAGTGATTCCCCCAATAAGTCTAGTACCCACCTGGCATTATACATAGTTCAAAATATATTTGTAGTTTAAAACAATGAGTGTTTATGAGGCTCTGCAAACTATGGCCCCGAGGTTGAATCCACCCATGTCCATTCATTTATACATTATCTATAGATGTTTTCACACTACAACAGCAAAGTTGAATAGTTGTGACAAAGACTGTATAATCCACAGATCCAAAAATATTTATCTGACTGTTCATTGGAAAAGTTTGCCTGATCAATTTTCTAGATCATTTGCAACACATTTTAGTATTTCAGAAAACCTACCATATTGCCACGAAAAATTAAGAGAAATACTCCATCATATCCCCTAAGACAGCGGTTCTCAACCTGTGGGTCGCAACCCCTTTGTTGGTCGAACGACCCTTTCACAGGGGTCGCCTAAGACCATCCTGCATATCAGATATTTACATTATGATTCATAACAGTAACAACATTACAGTTATGAAGTAGCAACGAAAATAATTTTATGGTTGGGTCACAACATGAGGAACTGTATTTAAAGGGC